TGGTTAGTTGGTTAGTTGGCTAGTTGGTTAGTTGGTTAGTTAGTTAGTTAGTTAGTTAGTTAGTTAGTTAGTGTGTGTGTGTGTGTGTCGCGTGTCAGTACCCCCCACCTGCCCTAAGCCCTGAAACTTGCAACCCTAAACAAACCCTCACAAACCTTTAAAACAATCCTTCAAACATCTTAAAACCCTTGAAACCACAAAGCAGCAAGAACCCCAATCCCAAAACCCCTAACCTCAAAAACCCTAAAACCCAAAACTCCCCCAACCTTAATGCCCCAAGCACCTAAACCCTAAGCCCTAGAAAGCTAAGCCCTGAAATCCAAAATCCCTAGAGCTCTACCAAAGACTACCAAAGACCCAAACCCTAAAACCATCCTACAGCCTCGTCACAGAGGGGGAGGGGGGGAACCCTGCACCGCAAAACCCTAAAACAATCCTGGCAGCGGCACCCGCGTTTGGCACGATTCTCTTCATGCGCTGCGCTGCGAGGCGCTCCTTTACCATCCTCTCCCCCGTGGCTTTCCAGGGGTCTGCCTTGCCGCAGGTTTGGATGACCTCTGCTCCACCACACTCGTCGAGATGACGCTTCTTCCTCTTGCCTGCGCGGTATTTTTCTGCGACGCAGAGCCTGCTGTTGTCTCTGCTCGGGTCACTGGGCTTCTCGTGACTTGTGAACCACATCTGTCTGAAGTTGCAGAAATCTGACTTGGGCTGGATGGCATAGGGCGTGCCAGGCGCGGAGCGCGCGACCACATATTGGGACTGGTTCAGGGTTCAGGGTTTAAGGTTTCGGGTTTTGGTGAATCCATATCCTGGGTTGCCCAGCAACCTGGGATTAAAAAGGGTGCCCTTTTTGCTTAAAGGGGTTTACAAGGAAACCTAAACCCCCCCAAAAAAGGCGAATAAGGGCACTACTGGGCATCCTAGTGTCTGCCAGGAGCAGGTTTAAAGGAAACCCAAACCCTCGAAAACAAAGGAATAGGAGCCTACTCTGGGTCCTAGTGCCTTAAACCCCTAAACCCTAAACCCTAAACCCCAAACCCTCAACCATAAACCCTACTCAGGATCTCTATATACCGTTTAAGGTCCATTCCTCAACAAAGGGGTGTTGGGCCGCGCCCTTGTCTTCTTGAACGTGGCCCCCAAACCCTAGACCGTAACCGCTAATCCGTAAATCCCGAAATTGTAGATCCCTGAATGCCTACAACCCTAAATTCCGAGATCCCAAAAGTCCTATAAACCCTAAACACTAAACCCTACACCCTAAACCCTACACCCTAAACCCCCAAAGGGTCCTGGCCCGTGTTGTCTTTGAACTGCAGAACCGGCACAGCGTGGTTGGGGTTGAGCTTGAGAAACTCCTGACGGGGAGATTTGGCTTCACCTCAGAGCCCAGGGTTCAGGGTTTAGGGTTTAGGGTTCCCCAGCCCAAGACTACTTTCCATTACGGGAGGTTTTCGGGCTGATGTGTGTAAACAAGCCTATTACGGGAGTCCGATGAAAAAAATAATGGGGGTGACAATTATAAAATTTGGTCGACCAGGAATCGACAATTTTACTGAAAATGGCTTAAGCCCCCCCAGACCCCCAGACCCCCAGACTCCCAGAATCCTTACCCCCTCTTTTTTCCCCCCCCCCCACCAAACCCCGGGGACCAAAACAAGATTGGGGGCGGGGGGGTGATTAACGCGAGGTTAACATTAGACCCTAAACACCCCTCGAGGTTTAGGGTTTAGGGTTAAGGGTTCTTCCTTTTGTCACCTGGAGGGCCGCACCCTACACAGCCTGAAGCCTGCCCTAAACCCTAAACCCTAAACCCCAAACCCTAAACCCTAAACCCTATACACCCTGAACCGAGGCTCCTCCGTCTGTCCCTCGCCCTTCATGAGCTCGACGCGCTTGCACTCAAACTTCACCTGGATGGCAAGAGCAGTTGGCTCACGCGGCTATAGAAGGGTTCATCTGAGCTTAGTTTGCAAACGTCATAGGCTTTTGGACTGTTTGGTTACCCTAAACTCTAAACCCTAAACCCTCAACCCTCAACCCTAAAACCCTAAAACCCTGAACGCCCATAAGGGCTTCGGGCTTCCAGGATTCCAGGCTAGAGCACATGAGGCCGAAAATTTCCACAACTTCCTGCATCCCCCTAAGGGATGGATATAGATGGGCAAAAAAGGTTTAGAGTCTAGGGTTTAGGGTTTGGTTTAGGTTTTTAGGGCAGATTCCCCCAACACTAAACCCTAAACCCTAAACCCTAAACCCTAAACCCTAAACCCTAAACGACAAAGGCCCTACACAAGCATTGGACTGATGGGCCCAGCCTTGGAGCCAAGCTCATGGAGTAGCCAGAGCACGCGCGTGGAGCGGGTCAGCGGGTAGTGGTATAATGTCACCTCGTTTAGGGTTCAGGGTTTAGGGTTTAGGGTTTAGGGTTTAGGGTTTAGGTATTAGGGTTTAGGGTTTAGGGGATTAGGGGATTAGGGGTTTAGGGTTTTAGTGCCCACCCCAAGCATCTGAGACCCAAAGCAGTAGAGAGTCCTCGCCTAAACCCTAGAGTTTGGGGGTTTGGGGGTTTAGGGTTTGAAGGGTTAGGGTTTGAGGGGTTTAGGGGCTTTTAGGGTTTGATGCGTTTAGGGGTTTGGGGGTTTGGGCTTTTGGGCTTTTGGGCTTTTGGGGGTCTGGGGTTTTCGGCAGGGGCAAGAGGGCAGTGAGGGAGGGAGAATCCCCCAAAACTGACATAGGGACACTAAGGGGCATAAGGAAGGACCCCTAGAAGGGACCCTTAATCTTATTCCCCTATATAACGCTTGTATATACCTTACATAGTCCCTATTTACCTAAGTAGCCCCTAGATAAGCCCCCAAAGAACCCCTAAACCCTAAACCCTTAAAGGGTCCCTCCTTTCGTTCCTTGAGGACTGCGCCCACCTCCACCGGCGCAGCCGCCATATCCGCGCTCTCTCTCTCGGCGTCGAAGACTCAACGAAACCCCTGAACCCTAAACCCTAAACCCTAAACCCTAAACCCTAAACCCTAAACCCTAAACCCTGCAGGTTGGCAGGTTGGGCTAGTACACACCAGCTTTGAGCCGTTCCGGCGTTTGAAGCGAGAGCTGTGGCTTAGGGAGCTTGGGGCGGAGCTGCCTTACACCCTAGAGCTGCCATAAACCCTATAGGGTTTAGGGTTTAGGGTTTAGGGTTTAGGGTTTAGGGTTTAGGGTTTAGGTTTAGGGTTTAGGGTTTAGGGTTTAGGGTTATAGACTAGACCCAAGAGTAGCCTAGGAACATAGGAACAACAAGGGTGCCCCTTCTAGGCTAAAGGGGGCTTGTCCCGGAACCTAAATCCTAAAACATGGGAATAGTGTTTAGTCTGAGTCCTTGTACTGCATAAGGGGCCCACCCGTCCTATGCCCTACCTAAACCCTAAACCCTAAGCCCTTAAACCTCAAAACCCAAGCAACTCTGAGCCCCAAACAGAACGCCAAAACCCTAAATCCCGAACCAAAAAGCCAAGTTAGTGTGTAGAGCTCAGCGTTTGGAACTTTCTCGATCCCTGCACAAGAAGCCGGTTTAGGGTTTAGGGTTTAGGGTTTAGGGTTTAGGGTTTAGTCGCCTTCTACCATACTTTGCTTAAACGTGGACACCTCACAAGAGAACATTTAGAAGCGATCCCAATGATGTTTAACCCTATATAAGCCCTGAACCCTGAGCCCTAAAACCTCAAACCCTAAACCGTCAACCGCAAGGCCTGAACCCCAAACCCTAAACCCTAAACCCTAAACCCTAAACCCTAAACCCTAAACCCTAAACCCTAAACCCCAATTCCTAAACCCTAATCTCCACGTGGAACCCGCTCACACTCTTGTCTTTTCGACCCCTTAGAACGAGGCCGGTGGAAGGCAGGGCTGGTGGTCAGGGTTCAGGGTTCAGGGTTCAGGGTTCAGGGTTCAGGGTTCAGGGTTCAGGGTTCAGGGTTCAGGGTTCAGGGTTCAGGGTTCAGGGTTCAGGGTTTAGGGTTTAGGGTTTAGGGTTTAGGGTTTAGGGTTTAGGGTTTAGGGTTTAGGGTTTAGGGTTTAGGGTTTAGGGGGGAACCCAGCTGCAAACATTGCCATCCTGACCACAGAGCACCGGCTTCCTGCTGCGTCATTGGCATTCCAGGACAGGCTGGGAAGGCACTTGGAGGTTCATGGCACTTATTAACCCGGTAGGGTTTAGGGTTTAGGGTTTAGGGTTTAGGGTTTAGGGTTTAGGGTTTAGGGTTTAGGGTTTAGGGTTTAGGGTTTAGGGTTTGGGGTTTAGGGTTTAGGGTTTAGGGTTTAGGGTGTCCCGCCTATAAGCCCCCGAGGTGCCCTAATATGGTTATAAATGCAGTTATAGGTACAGTTACCCTAAACCCTACAAACCCTATAAACCCTATAAACCCTATAAACCCTATAAACCCTATAAACCCTATAAACCCTAAAAACCCTAAAAACCCTAAAAACCCTAAAAACCCTATAAACCCTATAAACCCTATAAACCCTATAAACCCTATAAACCCTATAAACCCTAAACCCTGGTTCTAAGTACAGTGATAGTTGGTTAACAAGTACCATGAACCTCCAAGCGGGAGGGGCCATGGGGGCACGGAGCCGACCAAAACCGCTAGGACATATGAACTCTTATTTAGGGTCTATAGGGTTTAGGGTTTAGGGTTTAGGGTTGAGGGTTTAGGGTTTAGGGTTTAAAACCCTAGACCCTCAACACGCAAAACCCTAAGGATCTAAAGATCGAAGCCCCTTCATGGTGACACTGCGCAGCATCACCTGCAAGAGGTTGGGCTGCCGGCGTACCTGCGCACGCGAGTGGCCGGAGAATCGAGCTTGAGAGGGTTTAGGGTTTAGGGTTTAGGGTTTAGGGTTTAGGGTTTAGGGCTTAGGTCGGACATTGCATGGTGGAGTCCAGCATGAGGTTTGCGTGAAACCACCCCGTGCATGTTGCAAGGGAGATGGGTTAAAAGCAATTATGGGAATTCGTCAAAGATCCTTCTCAGCAGGAGAGCGGAGTTCAGCTTGGTTTTGAGGAAACATCTGAATTCCCATACCAGATCGTTCCTTCTTTTGCGGAGTTCGTCAGACATGAAATGAAGAGCTTGTTTTGCCAGAACATCTGCACGGTTGTTGTGATGTATCTGCCAGAGCTCGAAAAAATCCTTTGCATCATGTAATGATTTGTGTGCCTTGGTCCAGAAGATTTTGCAACTGCCTGGTTGTTTCCTCTTCAGAATATTGATTGTGGTTTGAATCAGGTCACGGTCCGGGTGTGTGACCCAATAATCCAAGGTGTCGTTTCCATTCATGACAGCTTGTACCACTTTGACTGCTGCTTGGTTGTCACAATAGATTTCACAGCTTCCATCATACGCAAGTGCGACGTTCACTGCAAAGAGCTCAGCCCGGAAGACTGTTTGTAACACACCTGGCAGGATACCTGAGGAAATGGCGCGGTTTGTAGATTCTTTCGACTGAGCTTCCGTCACACCCCAACTGGCAACCCTGGCCAAAGGAATACCTTCATCCTGCGCCGAGCCATCAGTAAAAAAGATACGCGTAGATCCATTAGAAGGCAAAGGGGAGATCTGGATGTCCACTTCCATAAGGGCCTTTTGGAATTGCTTCAGCTTTTGTGGCTTTGGAAAGAGGCCTCCCAGGAGCATGTGGTCAGGCAAGGCTTTGAGTTGATCCCAATCCGTGGTTGAGTTCCGGATGTGTTCTGTTCCTGGACATTCGTGGACTCTATGCCTGAGCGTGTCCTCCTGTCCACAGAAGATGCATTCCTTGTCGTTGTTATAATCTACGGAGTGTTTCCTGCCATTTGGGAAAAGCCCTCCCAGCCGTACCTTGTTCATAAAGCCTTCCACCATTGAATCTTCGTTCCGTGGGTATTTGGAAGATTTGATGCAGAAGTCCTCAATATCGTGGAGGTTCTGTTTGGCTTGTAAGTCTGCGAGCACCACCCTCTCCCATGATTGCGTTGTAATCAATTTGAACTGCGCGGTGGAAAGATCCCAAATGTTAAAAGACCAGCCATCTGGAAGGGTACATTTCCCAGTAGCATCAAGTGTCCATTCCCAGTCCCGTAGCATCTGCTGAAAATGTGTGATCGGGCCCCAACCTTGGCCTGCCTTGAAGTTATGGCTGCCATCAATCCCAATTTTCCATGCATCCATGACCAATTCCTTGTTGCGAGCCCACATTCGCATCAAAGTAGCATGTCTTCTTCGTATCACGTGAAGAGCTGGTTCGAAGACGTAACGTGACATAATCGGGACCAAAAAATGCAAATGGTATTGCTGTTTGTTCCATACCGTATGATTGCACTTAGCTCTCAGTGATCGGAGGAACGTCTTACCCACTGGAAAGCATTCGCAACCGTAAAGGCATTTCTGTAATATACCTCTTGCAATGACCGCAGCCTTGACGTCATACTTCCATGGCATAAATTGAAGACGTTCCAAAAGTTGAGCTCCTTTCTTCATCCTTTCATCTCTTTTTGTTGTGGACGCTCTCGTCTGAGTCTGGAACTGAATCCCCAATCCTTGCATATTTGTCTCATATTTGACATTGTAGCCAGCATCGTGGAGTTTTTGCCTCAGCACTCGCGTCCTTGCTGGTTTAGTGCCAAAAATACAAGACTTGTTGATGTTGAGGATCAATCCCGTTGCCTTGGCCAGATCGGCCACTGTAGCGAGGGCGGTTGTGATGGTCTCATCTTCCGTATCCAATAATGTCCAATCGTCCACATAGGAGTGCAGGTCGACTGCATGTCTTTGTTGCACCAAGTTTGTGAACATCCATGTTAGGATAATCATTTGTGCTACCGCAAGGGGACACCCCTCTGGCACGCCCACCTTGGATTTGACCGCTGGCCCCCAATGGTCATTGCAGACGAAATGTCGTTGTAGTCCACTCAAGAAAGAGCTGTAAGGTTTCCACATGTCCTGTAGGCCAAGTCTTTTGTTCAATCGGGGCTTGTTTAGGGCTTAGGGCTTAGGGTTTAGGGTTTAGGGGTTCGGGTCCAGGGCTTGCGGACTAGGGTGTCTTGAGGGTTTGATTCTGGAGACCCGAGTGGCTTCCCAGAAAGCCCAACACCAATGTCCCTTCATTAATGGACAGGACTTTAATTTAACCATGTAGGGATGGATTTTTGCATTTTGACTTACCCTAAACCCTAAACCCTAAGCCCTAAGCCCTAAGCCCTAAACCCTAAACCCTAAACCCTAAACCCTAAACCCTAAACCCTAAGGCGTAGTCAGAAGAATTGGGCTCGGGCACTTTCCACTAAAAGGCTTCCGCCCTGCACCCCTTTGCCGAACCTCGGAAACGTCTTCCCGAAACAAGCCATGTATTGTATATAGCGATGATGAGGTTTAGGGTTTAGGGTTTAGGGTTTAGGGTTTAGGGTTTAGGGTTTAGGGTTTAGGGTTTAGGGTTTAGGGCTTAGGGTTTAGGGTTTAGGGTTTAGGGGTACTATCATCCCTACTAAGGACTGTTAGTAGTTAGCATAAGCGGGAGCATCCCAACACATAACCCTGAAACCCTCCACCCTAAATCAAAACAAACCCTCTAAGGCCTACACCGCGCGGGCGCGTCTTTGTCTGTCGGCCGATTTTACTTTCAAAGGATCTTGAAATGCCCTTGCAGCACTGTGGCCACGGGCAGCTAAAAGCACGGTGGCTTTCGGGCTTCAAGGGTGCCAAGGCTTTGGGACTTGGTAGGGTCTAGGCTCGAAGACCTGCCTTTCAGGGCTGTTTTGGAGATTAGGGCTTAGGGTTTAGGGTTGTTTTAGGGTTTAGGGTATGAGGGTTTAGGGTTTACTGGCTGTTGAGCTTTTCGGGGCTTTGAGGGTTTCGGGGCTGCAGGGTTTACACTGATTCTGTAACCATGGGGTTCTCCGCGCATGTGGGTTTAGGCTTGAGGGTCTTGATAAGCCCTAAGCCCTACAGCCTGAAACCCGAAAACCCTAAACCCTAAAGCCCTGAACACGCCCAAGTCTCTGCTGCCCTAAACCCTAAACCCTAAACCCTAAACCCTAAACCCTAAACCCTAAACCCCCCGACTGCGCATGAACCGGCTCCGCCCTCAGAACACTGCGCAGAGAATTTCAGTCTAGGGGTTCAGGGTTTGGGGTTTGGGGTTTGGGGTTTCGGATTTAGGGTTTGGGGCTAGGGGTTTAGGGTTTCGGATTTAGGGTTTGGGGCTAGGGGTTTAGGGTTTATAGGGCTTAGGGTTTGGGGTTTAGGGTTTGGGGTTTAGAGTTTTGGGGTTTGGGGTTCAGGGTTTGGGGTTCAGGGTTTAGGGTGTAGGGTTCAGGGTTTGGGGCTTAGGGGTTAGCGACTATGATTTCCCCTTAAAGTATATGAAAGTTGTATAGTGGCTATGGAGAGTTTTCAGGTAAGCTCCGTATGGAAGCCTTATTTATAGGGGCACTGCGGGCTACAAGAGGAGTACGTAATGTACGGGAAGGAACCCTAAACCCTAAACCCTGAACCCTAAACCCTAAACCCTAAACCCGAAACCGGAACCCGAAACCCTAAACCCTAAACCCTAAACCCTAAACCCTAAACCCCTAAACCCTAAACCCTAAACGCTGTCCCAGACGAAGCCTACGAATGACAGCCACACTGTCTCCATAGGCCATGTCTAAGGTCCAAAGTCCGGGCCCTCAACTTGGGGACCTTGATACTTCTACTTCTTCTTATTGTTATTATGATTCTTATTATGAATATTATGATTATTATTCTGATTATTATTATGATTATTATGATTATTATTATGATTATTAGTATGATGATTATTATTATGATGATTATTATTATTGTTAATATTAGTATTAGAATAAGTATTAGACTTGGTATTAGCATTAGCATTAGCAGTAGTATTAGTATTAGTATTCTGATTACGACTATCACCTTCATTACTAGAATTAATATTCTCGTTATATTTAATCTAGCCCGTACATGAGCTTTATACATGAAGGGCCTGTACTTCGGATCCCTATAAGCAAGGGCAAGGGACCACACTACTAAGGGCCCATGGCTCAAACTTGAGGCCCGGAAAGATGCCGGCTCAGCTGTGCAGGAGGGGCCTCTCAGGTCCTGGTGAAGGGGTTTAGGGTTTAGGGTTTAGGGTTTAGGGTTTAGGGTTTAGGGTTTAGGGTTTAGGGTTTAGGGTTTAGGGTTTAGGGTTTAGGGTTTAGGGTTTAGGGTGAAGAACGACGGGAACTATGCGTGAATGAGCAAGTGAGCAATAAAAAGAACTGATGCGCAAAGAAACATCAGAGACGACAGGTATTGTGGTGTGCAGATGTACATGTAAAAGGATAGATCGACAGAAAAAATCGTTCCCAGATTAGGACATTTGCACAGGTTGTCTGCTGGTTGGTGTTCATTTGCATGCTTCGTCTCCGCCCTTCGAATTACCTTGAAACTTGAAAACTGTTGTTGTGGCGCCCCCTTTGCGGTCCATCCTTGTCGAGGCCCCTAAGCCTAAACCCTAAACTCTACACTCTAAACTCTAAACCCTAAACCCTAAACCCTGAACCCTGAACCCTAAACCCTAAACCCAAAATGCTGAAGCTCAAAATCAGCCTTCCCTCCCAGTCCCTCCTGACTGCCTTGTCGTCTTTCTGGGAAGCGGATCTTGTGACGCTCCCCTCCGGTCATGTGTTTGTTTAGGGTTTAGACTTTAGGGGGTAGGGTTTAGGGCTTAGGGCTTAGGGCTGAGGGCTTAGGGTTTAGGGCTTAGGGTTTAGGGTTTCGGGTTTAGGGTTAAAAGTTTAGGGTTTAGGGTCTCGTTCCGCAGCCCACTTCAGGGAATCGAGGCTCAAGAACTACATCGGGCGACGGGCTCTGCGGGAATCTCTTCTGGTCTCTAGAGCACTGACTCGCTTATCAGCTGCTGGGGGTGGAGGCTACGGTCTCTTGATGTTGTGCAGTTCTCTTAGGCACAGGCCCGGAAATTGCGACAGTGAGAGAGAGAGAGAGAGAGAGAGAGAGAGAGAGAGAGAGAAGGAGAGCTTTTTCTATTCTAGCCCGGCTTAGTTTAAGCAAAAGCACGCATTCGCGAAACTTATCTACGACTGGAAGAAGGCGGAGTCACCAACAGCCGTGTCAGAAAGTCGAAAGAGAGACAATTCCGTCATGGGTCATGAACTACAACATACAGTAATATACTACATACTGTACTGCAAAATACTCATGGGAACATTGATTCTGAGAGAGTAGGTTTTTTTTGTGCAGTATACTTGCGACTGATGATCTCGCTGGGCTTTTCAGCGCAGACGGACCGACGGGGGGTGTAAGGGAGGGTTTGGAGTTTGGGGCTTATGGCCCATTAGCCGTCAGCAAGCATCAATATCGGAATATCGGCCCACCAAAACCCTAAACCCTGAACCCTACAAAACCCTAAACCCGAAACCCTAAACCCTAAACCCTACTAGACCATAAACCCTAAACCTTACATCATTATACGAGGTTAGTCCTTAACACCCTGTGCAAAATATTCCTGAAGATGACCCTCTTAAACCCAATACATATATTAAGGGAAAGTATAGGCAGCCTTCTACCCAAAAAAACCTAAACGCTGCACCCTACACCATAAACCCTAAGTCCTAAACCCTAAATCCTAAACCCTAAACCCTGAACACTAAATCCTAAACCCTTAATCATTACATTTCGGGTGTTCAGCAAGTTCAGGGTTTCGGAAAAGGGGTTTAGGGTCAGGGTTTAGGGCTCAGGGTTTCGGATGTAGGGTCTAGGGTTAGGGTTTAGGGTTTGGGGTTTGGGGTTTAGGGTTTTAGGGTTTAGGGTTTTAGGGTTTAGGGTTTGGGGTTTGGGGTTTAGGGTTTATAGGGCTTGGGGTTTAGGGGCGGCGTCGAGGGCGTGCGGTTCCCAAAGGCGAGAGCCCACCATGCACCCTTTAGGGTTTGGGGTTTAAGGTTTAGGGTTTAGGGTAAGCCTCCAAGTGCAGCAGAGGCACTAGTACCTTCTGGACGGCCTCAGAACTCACAGAAGTCAGCCCCACAGCAAGGGGTTTGGGATTGAGGTTTGAGGTTTGGGGTTTAGGGTTCCCTAAGCCCCATAAGAGCCCCCGAAAACCTGACTTGAGTGCATACGACGTCGCTTCAGCGCCATCTTCATAGAATCAGAACACCCCCTCATCCTCCACCCTCCACCCTGAACTGCAAGCCCTGAATCTTAGGGGCTTCGCCCTCATGCCAGCGTAGAATACTGGTTCACGAAATGGGCATTTTTTTTGCCGGCGGAAGGGGGGGGGGGGGGGGGCGGAACTAGTGAAAATACCCTATGTTTTGGTCATAGATTGGGGGTTTGTGAAGGCCCAAATGGGGCTGTATAACAACCCCGATGGAAACCTGCTGGTCCCCAAAAATGTTATCGTTCTTTTTTCCTCCTTATCGCTTTACAGTGCATGCGCACAAAACACAGTATTGTTGGCTAGAATTCTTATCGTTTTACAGCGTTTGCTTATACAAGGAAATGCTTCGGAGCACTTGGTTTTCACCAGGCCCCCGGAGACACCCCAAGACCAGAGTCACCACAGGGCACACATCTTCAACCCTGGAATGGTCCAGGTCCTTCAACAGACCCCATCGTGAACAAAAAGTTATCGTTCTGGTTATCGTTTTGTTATCGTTTTTGACCTATTGCTTTAGGGGTGTGAGGGGTGTAAGGGGTATTAGGCGTGTAAGGGGCCACACAACCAAAACCCTGCAGAAAGTTATCGTTTTTTATACTCCTTATCACCTTATCCTTTTACAAGCTAAACGATACTCGGGCGCACTCCTTTCTAAACCGCAAGCCGCGGGTTTACTATACAACCCCAAATGGTCAAATATCACGAAGACTGGTGCTTTGTGTATTTTCCGAGCACTAGCAAAAACACATATGGCTTGTCCCCCAGATGCTGATTTGTTTGCCCAGATTTGGGGTTCGTAAAGGACAAATCTTCAATGATCACTAACGTTTGCCACATGAGTGTTCCCCCAGCCCGCCCGAGAATCCCGGCGTTGGCCTTAGATTGAAAGTTTGCAAACGCACAAACTGGCCCAAAACTGTAAAAATAGATTCGGTGGTATTCCAAGCCTCCCAAACTAGTGAAGATGCATGCATTTTGGCCCTAGATTACTTGCAGGTTCATGGTTATTAAAGAAGAAAGGCCTCCAAACGAGTGTGAGGGGTTTAAGGGTGTGGGGTTCAAGGAGTAAGGGCCTCAGGTTTAGGGGTTAGGGTTTAGGGTTTAGGGTCTAGGGTTTCCGGGCGTGGAGCAGACCTCGGGATCGTATTTATGGGGAGCCTGCAAAATTTCGCCAAGTCAAATCTACTCATTCATATTCAAAATAGAAATTGGTGTTCGCCAAATCGATTCTATTCAATCCATTTTCCCTGCCAAAATCATATTGAAAATAGAGAGCGAATTTTCGCCAAATCACAACAATGTTCAGCTGAGGCGACCCCGCCAGCAGGTCACAACAATGGGCTCCTAAACATGCAGCATCACAAAAAACGGCTTATCAATGATTTATGAATTTTCATTATGGATGAATTACCAAAATTGCGGCGCTCAGCACGTGATTTGCCACCAGTTCAGAAACGCGGGCCCCTGCGGCATGCAGCACGATGCCCATCGCAACAAATCATAGCTCAAAAACGCAGTCCTGGACAGCACTGAGAGCTGGGAGATGCCCTTGAGTACGTGCTGCGGCTTGTTCCTTTTTTGGATCACCTTGAAGGAAGCGCTTCCGCATCGAGATTCAGTACATTCACAGCTCATCGGAAGCAGGCAGTCGAAACAAACTACCCTTGCCTTCCCGAGGTAATGCGCTGTCACCCTCGGCTCGGCATCAAGCTCCAGAGCCGCTTGCAGGTAGCAAGCAAGCTCGTCCAGGAGACGGTGCTTGCCGCTCCTGCAGCAAGTCGCAGGAGCAGGAAGAAGACCGCACTCCGATCCAACCTTGGCGAACCCCCCACCGGTGCCGAAAAATATTAAGCAAACACACACTTTTTCTGACATTGCGCTTTACACGAAGGGTCACCAGCCGACGGCCTGGCACACAAAGCTTAGGGTTTAGGGTAAATTAAGGGCTAGGGTTGGGACGAGGGTGTGGGCTACGCAGGGCAGTCTCATGAGGTTTCAAGCCCCACGCACTTCGGGCTTATGGTTTATAGAAATGGGCTCCTTGGGAGCCATCTTGAGTCTTTTGAAGGGCTTCAGGTGCCTCCAAAACAAGTGCAGTCATTCGGGAAAACAATCTTGAGGCTTTTGAGGGGCTTCAGGGGCCTCCAAAACAGGCGCGGTCATTCGGGAACTTATTCTTGGGAGCCATCTTGAGTCTCTTGAGGAGCTTCCGGGGCCTCCAAAACAGGCGCGGTCATTCGGGAACTTAGTCTTGGGGAGCCATCTTGAGTCTCTTGAGGGGCTTCAGGGGCCTCCAAAACCGGCGCGGTCATTCGGGAACTTCTTCTTAGGATCCACTTTGAGTCTTTTGACAGGCGTGGTCATTCGGGAACTTATTCTTGGGAGCCATCTAGCGTTTTTTGAGGGGCTTCAGGAGCCTCCTCATCCCGGGTTCGTAATTTAGTCTTCGTTTTCTGGGACCTCATGAATACACAGGCTTGGTGGGGAAGGCCCCATAGGTTTAAGTAAAAAGAGCATTTGGTCTCCAGCTGTTTGGGGTCTTGAGGGTTTAGGGTTTAGGGTACATCGGAATCCCAACACTGCAGCATGGCATGTGGAGTCCAGCTGCCTTCTTCTCTAACCCCCAAGGCCTTCCCGCCAAGACGTACCACTTCACCAGCCAAGCTAGGCCTTGGAAAGGGGTGGCAGTGGAGGGCGGGGGGGGGGGGGGGCAATATTGGCAGAGTGTTGGCAAAACCCAGAAATGTGGGGCGCATTATGGGAAGGCAGATGCCCTTGGATGACTTCGAACCACCCTTCAGCGCCACTTCTAAGGTGCATGTGGCACCCAAGGGCCAATTCCATGCACTGAAAGGTCCCTTGGCTGGGGAGGAGGGGTTTGGAACTTCTTCTATTTAGACTGGAAAAGATATAGCTGATTGGATAATGCCTTCGTTGCCCTACACCTCGACCGTTAACCCTAAACCATATGGGGAACCCTCCTGTCCTGCACCCTGACATCTGCAAGCCTCAGAGCCAGCGGTATCAACTACAGCTCACGGCAACTTGAACAGCACTCTGCTTTCTCACCCAAAACCCCGCGGGCGTGAGCCATTGCGCGCGTGTGGAACTCAAGGGGAGTGCCCGTTCAAAGCTATATGGTTGCGCAGTAATAGCTCCCCAGATACCTGGCCTTGCCCCCCAAGGCCCACAGCGGCATGTTTGGACCTGTACAACTAAGCCAAGGCACCGATGGAAAAGCAAAACGTTGTCTCAATCAAGAAGAGACGATCACAGTCGCGTTCAACCTACTACTTGAAAGTTGTAGGTGTTTGACTAACTGCAAATGCAACAGTGCTCGCAACCTGATCTGCAAAACTCAACTACGCCTGAACAGACGCATTCGTCGCTCACCTGGCTTTGCCTTGAGTGCTCCCTGCACCGAAGAACCGACTGCCTCGCCGACTCTTTGAATGCGAACCCGCAGTCGTTGTCCCGGCTGTGAGGCGCTACTGCCTGCGCACCTTGAGCCATTGGCAAGCGGCGACATCAGAGGACTGCCGACCTGTCTCGGAAGCCTGCCAGAACTCAGGTGCGCGATACAGCGGCGTCGAATTATTCAGGAAACGAGGCACCACCGGCCCTTTGAAGCATTCTGTCATTCCGAAGTCGCAGATCTTGATTTGGTGGTCGCGATACAGAATGTTCTTGGGCTTGAGGTCCATGTGCGCGTAGCCGATGTGATGCATGCTTTCAAGGCCTTTTCTTAGCTGAGCAGCTGCTGCCCAAAGATTCTCAGCAGTCAACGCCCCCCCCTCTGTCAGGGCCTGGGCCAAAGTCTGGCCCGCGTACTCTGTTGCTAGAAAAGGCATGGGCTTCATTGCCTTCTCGAGAAGCCTAGGGAACAACAGCTGAACTGCTGGTGCCAAAGATTGTAGGTCTCGTAGAATCTTCTCTTCATGGTTGATGTCGTCAGTGTCGTTTGTGGACTTGAAGACCTTGAGGGCGGCCCTCTGCCCATCAGGCCCAATGGCTTCCTGAACGGAGCCATACGCGCTCTCACCCAACGCACGCACCACCTGGTAAGCACCAAATTGCTGGCATGCCTGAGCAGGCGGCGCCGTTTGTGGCTCGGCAGGCTCGGTTGCCACAGCAGCCACCGATGTCCTGAAGTGGATGCCCTTCTCCCGGAGCTCTTGCCGCTGGGTTGCGAACTCCTCTGTGGACTTCTTCCTGTAAACATCCTGTTCTGCGCGGGTCAGTGAGCGCCAAAGAGCACCTACCTTCTTCATCTCTTCCTGATGTGTCTCTCACATTTGCTTCCTCGAAGGATCCAGCGTGCTCTGCTCTTGGAAAAAAAGTGCAAAGCAGCGTCTCGCCGATGGGATGGCTCCGTCGGCAACAGCCTCCATGCGTGCTGCGCGTGCCCGTCGCAGCTTCTTGCTGGCTCCCTCCTTGCACACAGGCTGCACAGGCTTTGCTGGACCAGGTATCAAGCGCCTGCTTCCCCCTCACCCTCCTCGCAGGCGCAGTAACAAGCGCAGGCCTTTTCCCCATGGCTGCACTTGCCGCACGTGAGTGCTTTGGAAACGCGAAAGCTATCTTACCGTGCGCAAGTGTGCCCGCTACCACGAAGGTATGTCTACCTGCAGTGTGTCGAGCTGGTTATCGGTGTTTCGGTGCCTACTTGCGCTCAACTGAAATTTCGTGTAACACGCTGCAATATAACACCACTTGGACATGTGCACGGGGTGTGCAACTTGCCAGGATGGCCGCTTGTCTGTGAAAATTGGCCACGTCAAGAACCCCCCACGTTCTTGAAGCTCTGGCTTGCTGCTTTGATAAAAGAAGGGCAGTGGGGGAGTGGGGGAGTGGGGGAGTGGGGGAGTGGGGGGTGGGGGAGGAGCGGGGGAGTGGGGGAGGAGTGGGGCGGGGGAGTGGGGGAGGAGTGGGGCGGGGGAGTGGGGGAGTGGGGGAGTGGGGGAGTGGGGGAGTGGGGGAGTGGGGGAGTGCAGATCGGTCCCTCCCCTCCCCTCCCCCCCTTCCCCCCCTTGTGATGGGGTGCTGATTTCTTACTTTCAACCCTAGACCCAAACCGCCTAAGTTACCGCCTAAGCCCGACACCCCAAACCCAGAAACCTTGAGGGCTAATGTTTCCTCATGGTCCAGGCCCAGAGAACTAAATCCTCAACCTCAACCCCAAAATCCTCAACAACATCACCCCCATGCACCAAGCCTTTCGAAGGAGGCTCAATGAGGTGGAGGCCCGGCCCCAACTTGCTGGAAAAGGGGGCTTGGGAAGGAGGCCCGGCCCCAAGGCAACAGGTTAGATCAAAGAAATGCCACCAGTCCTCAGCATGCCGCTTTTGCCACTTGAGCTCGAACTTGCAGTCGCTCTTGCGCTTGCTCGGGCGGTTCTTGCCCGGCATGGTGGATAGCTACGAGATCTAGTATGTGGTGCCCATGTGTTGCGCCTGCGGCTGCTGTCTGCTGCCTGTTGAAGATGCCGCATGCGTTGTGAGCAGCGGTTGCGGGATTGCTGCAATCGCTGGGTCAGTATGGCCACGTGGCCCCCAAGACTTTTTAACTAAACTCTAAACCCCAGAAAGATGAAAAAAAACTGTGAAGGACATGTGCCTCATGATGTTTGAGCCGTGGTTTCAGATTCCACAACTAACTCAAGAGGCTTGGTCCGCGACACCCTAAACCCTAAACCCTAAACCCTAAACCCGAAACCCTAAACCCTAAACTCAAAACCCGAAACCCTTAACCCTAAACCCTAAACCCGAAACCCTCAACCCTCAACCCTAAACCCAAAACCCTGAACCCTGAACCCCAAACCCGGAACCCAGAGAATGAGCCACAGACCAGCGGGAGATCAGAGAAGCGGTGGTCGGCCTTCGGTGCAAGCACGTAGCTGCTTCGGATTATTGGGCTCATTGGCAGTGGGCTGGCTTAGAATATGGTAGAAAGTTTAGGGTTCGGGTTCAGATAAGAGGACCATGGAGGTCTAGGCGGGCCTCGAAGACTGTGCTGATTATAGTGTTGCAATGCCTTTGGCAGGGTTCCGGGCAGCACTCATGAGGCCTGCATGAACCCAATACCTGAAACCCCAAATCGCCCACGACTAAACTAAACTAATCATGTCAACCAGGGCCCACTGGACCCTCTACCCTGGGGTCCACTGGACCCCGGTCCACCGGACCAATCCCTCGCAGGTCCTCCGGACCCGCTTGAATCCCAACCCTGAACTAAACTGCCGCGTGGCTGGCCAGATGAGTCGGAAGGCGACAGCACCTGGGATAAAAAATGATGACAGGTTCAAACTGCTGTGAATCTCGTTATATATATATATATATACCCCTAATACCCTAGACCCTAAAACCCTAAATCCTAAATCCAAAACCCTAAACCCTAAATGTCTCTCACGTAGTTTGCTGCCAGGGCACGTTGCGGACGGCAGCAGCCCACGGAGCAGGATGAGGTTTGCTTATAGATTTGCAGCTTGGCTGGGTTGAGGCCTTGGGCTTTACAGGGTTTAGGGCTTTAGGGACTTGGTTTTCGCGGTTCAGGGTTTAGGGGGAGCCAGCGAGTAACCCTAAAACGAGAACCCCTTGACCCCAAGCAACGGCAACGAAAATCAAAAAAGCGCGAAAAGCACACCCAGCAACCTCTTCTTCTTGGGACCGCGGATCACAGCGATTCACAGCGTGCGCGTGCTCAGCTGCATCGGGGCCAAGCACCAGCTCCTTTGCAAAAAGCAAGAGCGTGCTACACTGCTCCCAACTCGGCTAAACAACGGTCCTCCGTCGGGAACCACACCATGCCCAAAGGCGTACCCGATGGCAAATTGGCTTCCTGTATCGAGACGTCAAAAATGACGCGGCAAGCAAAAGCAAACATCGACACGTAAGGCCGCCGCACCCCCATCGCCCTGGACCATCCACCGCTTGTCCAAGTCCCAGTCCTCGAAGAACTTGTTGGCCTGAGGGGAGCTGGGAACTCACAACAAAGGCAGCTGCAGTAATACGAATCTTGAGGCTCCCACAGCTAGGACGATGGACAAATCGTCCCTTGCATCGACGTTCAGCCGCTTCGCCAGCCTCCTAGTGCGCACCTCGTACTCTCTGCATGGATATGTGTTGGAGTATCCATAGCCTTGGCGCATCACACTGTGGAACTGTCACATTCTACTGAAGACTAGAAGAAGCATGAAGACGCGGCATAAACAACAAAAACAACGCTCCATCAGGACTGGGCACAGAGTGCGCAAGCATCGAGATTTCCTGTACTTGAAGGTGATAAAGTCATAAAAGAAGTGGATAATGGTGGAAACATGTTCATCCTGTACCACCTCCAAATTCTGAGATTATAGAAAGGATTAGGAAAAGATATGAAAGTAAAAGAATTAAGATAGAAAATTATTGACTCTAGGATATACCACTTCTGGAGACCCTTGAAAGATAGGTACAAAATAATTTCAAGTCCTCCAAACAAGCCAGGCATTACTAAAAAGAAGATCATCAGAAAGCCATGCAATGTAATGCTTATTTTTAAAATGTTTGGAATTTCGTTCTCTTTTAATTAAAAATCGAAACCAGTGCAAAGAAGCTAGACCACATTCCTTAGGCTTACTGTTAGGGCATAAATGGTTTAATGGACGCACTTCGTACTCTCTTTCACACGCATGTTTCGTTTGTACATTAAATGCTCTATCTTCATTTCATGTGCAAAAGCTGGATTTATAAGAGAGCCGCATGTTGGTGTGCCCGCTGAGGAGAAAACCAGTTATTTTATCATTAAATGTAGCGGGCGTACTCTATCTTATTTATTATATGCCCGCAGGAATACTAATACTACTTCATAATCAAGGGAGCAATGTGCCACAACACTCGCCTTCTTAATTGGACTGGAGAAAGGGAACCCAAGTCAAGGTTGAAGATCTTGAGGGAGCCAGGCTAAAATTAGTTCAAATCGGGGTTGGAAGCTTGGGGGCAAAACCCAAAGTGTTAAACCAGTGGAAAAAAGCAACAGGAACGCCCGACAGCGTGCAAAAAAGGAATTGACTTAGAATTCTTAGAAGGGAAAGGGGGCGCGGGAAAGGAGCAAGCAAAACCCCCGAAAGCTCCGAAACCACTTCAAAAGCTTTCAGCTTAAGAATGGAAGGGGACAACCCCCCGAAACTTCTGAACCGTTCTAAATATCTTTGAGCGTAGGAGTGGTTCCTGGGGGGGGTTTTGGGGGGAACATGCCGCGGGAATTGCCCGGGGCGCCAGCTACGCTGGCGAACCCTAAACCCTAAACCCTAACCCCAACATCCGAAAGTTTAGGGTTAGGGTTGAGGGTGGTTGAGGGCCTAGGGCACAGAGGAGCTAAGCTGAAATCTTAATTCCCCCCCCCCCCCCAACCCCGAACACTCTGGGGCCCCCTGCGCGTAGGACGCTCTCCGCGCGTACTTCGCGTGCCTAAAGTGAAGGGTTAATCCAAACCCTAAACCCTAAACCTTAAACCCTAAACACCCTTGAGCCAGTTTCGGGGTCACTTCCGGGCATAGAGATTTGAGTTCGAGGCTTGTGGGCTGAGGGCTGAGTGTTTAGGGATTGGGGTTTAGGGTTCAGGGTTCAGGGTTCAGGGTTTAGGGTTTGGGGTTTAGACCTATAGGGTTTAGGGCTTCGGGTTTCGGGTTTAGGGTGGAGGGTTGGGGGACCCAACAGACTCCACTCGTCGGAGGCCCGAAATTTGCATTCCGAAAGTTTATGCTTCTGATTCTGATATTGCTATGAACCTCAACATCTTCGATATTGGATGTTGGCCCGGAAATACCCCAAACCTTAGACTCTAGACCCTAAACCCTAGACCCTAACCCTCAATACCCTAAGCCGTGCGCCTTAGGGTTTGTGCTTGGAGCGACTGGGGTCTTTTTGATGGGGCTGGCCTGCAGGATTTCGACCCGGCGCTCCAGATATTGGTTTAGGGTTTAGGGTTTCGGGCTTAGGGTTTAGGGTTTAGGGTTTAGGGTTGAGGGTTGAGTGTTGAGGGTCGGGCTTAGGGCTGTTTGGGTTTAGGATGCAGCTTGTAAGATTTGGGGTTTAGGCTCAGGGTTTCGGGGCTTTAGGGGCTGTAGGGTTGCGCTGAGTCCAGCACGCCCGACGCCTTCCCCAAAGCGCTCTGCGCGCCCCCCTGTCGGGGTTTTAGGGTTTCGGGGTTTAGGGTTTAGGGTTTAGGGTTTCGGGCTTAGGGACCGCCAAACCCTAAGCCTCAAAAGAATTTATGACCGGGGTTCCTTAAAGAAGCGATAGGTGTTAAAAGGCCCGACTCCGATTCGTACGCATTGAACACACTCTCCCCTTGTCATCTGCCGATTCATGAACATCTAGACGACCCAACAATACCCCAAGGCCCTCTCTAATTAAGCCCCAAACCCCAAACCCCAAACCCTAAACCCTAAACCCTAAACCCTAAACCCTAAACCCTAAACCCTAAACCCTAAACCCTAAACCCTAAACCCTAAACCCAAGGGCATTCTTGGAATGTTGGAGCTTCAATAGAGCGATCGAGGGCTTCCGGTTGCTTCGAGATGCTCAACTTCCAGCCCGAAGCCTAAGCCCTAAACCCTAAGCCCTCAACCCGAAATCCTAACCCTACACCCTAAGCCCTATAAGTCCTATAAGCCCTATAAGTCCTGCAAGCCCTATAAGTCCTAGAAGCCCTATAAGCCGCAAACTTTAACCCTAAACCCTAAACCCTAAAATCTTTAGGGATTTTGGGCTTCGGGAACCCTCAAACCCTCAAACCCTAGACCCTAAGCCCTACGCCCTGAACCCCGAACCCTGGGCCGGTCTGTGTTAGGGTTCAGGGTTTATAGGGTTTAGGGGTTGGGGTTTAGGGTTTAGGGTTTCGGGTTGAGGGTTTAGGGTTTCGGGAGGGCTTTTTGGGTAAAACGACACCGGCCTCCACCATTGTCGGCGGCCTTCTCTGACGTGGATGGTCTTGGAGTACTTCGAGTCCTGAGGCCAACGCTTCATGGCTTTCAGGGTTTATAGGGTTTAGGGGTTTTTGGGCTTGTAGGGTTTAGTGATTTTAGGGCTTTTAAGGGGTTCAGGGATTTCAGGGTTTAGAGGGTTTGGGGATATTATACCTCTTCATGGCTTCAAGGGGCTGCGACTAGCTAGCTGTTTCGGGCTCACGGAAGCACGGCATGCACCTTAAACTTGCGGTTTGTGGTGGCGACCACCCTAGAGCCTAAACCCTAACCCCTAAAGCCTAAACCCTAAACCCTAAACCCTAAACCCTAAACGCTCCGATTCTGAATGAAGGCACCTTCCTGTGCTGGTGCGGAGAAAGCTCCCTGGGAGAGGCCCTCGAGAAACCCTAAGCCCTAAACCCTTATAAACCCTAAACCCTAAACCCTAAACCCTAAACCCTAAACCCTGCACTTAGGAGGGTAGAAAAAACAATAAACTTCCAGGCTGCCTTATCAAGAAACCCAATAAACACAATAAACCCAAAAAGGGTTTAGGGTTTAGGGTTTAGGGTTTAGGGTTTAGGGTTTAGGGTTTAGGTCTTAGGGTTCAAAATCAATAACCCCAATAAACGCAAAAAGGCTAAGGATCTCAATGTACAGCAAAGCATCACAAAGGAGTGTATCCTTGAAACTCCCTGACATCGTGGAAAGACCGGAGCCCAAAGCTCTGCGGTTTAGGGTTTAGGGTTTAGGGTTTAGGGTTTAGGGTTTAGGGTTTAGGGTTTTGTGTTTAGGGTTTCCCCATGAAGTGCTGGGAATTGCAAAAGACGACTCCTACTTCTGGGGGCGCGAAAGCGAACTACGACGCTCGCAGAGCCCACGCAGTCTCTCGATAGTGTAAACCCCAAACCCCAAACCCCAAACCCTCAACCCTAAACCCTACGCCCTAAACCCTAAACCTGAACCTCCTAAGGATGAAGAGGTCCTCAACCATAAGCCCTAAACCCAGCAATCCCTCATCCTTTTAGGGACCGTACCTTAGACAGCGACATGCATCTGGGGTTAGGGCTTTTCGGGCTTTGGGCTTCGGGCTTGGGGTTTAGGGTTTAGGTTTAAACCCTAAACCCTAAACCCTACACCCTACACCCTACACCCTAGACCCTGGTGGATGATTTTGGCGCATGGCCCCCTGGGTTCGATCCATCTTCGGCACCACAAGCCCCGGTGCATTCACTTGCATCATCTATGCGCCCAAAAAAAGAAGACCCTCAAGAGTTTAACCTGGGCTGCCCAGTAACCTGGGATTAAAAAGGGTGCCCTTTTTTGCTTAAAGGGGTTTATAAGGGAACCTAAATCCCCCAAAAAGGGAATAAGGGCAGTACTGGGCGTCCTAGTAAAAAAAGACATCTACTTCATGCGGAACATGCCCATCCCAAGATGGAAATTATAGGAAATTCCTAGGACACTCAAACCCTAAACCCTAAACCCTAAACCCTAAACCCTAAACCCTAAACCCTATAGGGGCAAAATAAGTTCGACCCATCGAGAGCCTGGAGCCCCACTTGCCCCCCCCCCCCCCCCTCCCCCCAGGGGCATTCCTCGAAAATTTAGGGTTTAGGGTTTAGGGTTTAGGGTTTATCAAGCTGTAGGAGGAAAAGAAGTTCGACCCATCTTGAGCCCAACAGGACCAGGTGTCTCGGTGGAAGAGGATCTTCTCGGCCAGCCGGACCTGCGCAGCTCTACTGGCACTTTAGGGTTTAGGGTTGAGAGCTGAGGGTTCAGAGCTCAGCCCACAAATCCTAAGGCCCTAAACGGAGTACCGAAGCAGGTCAAAGCTCGACGTGCGCAGAGCATGTTACTACCCCAAGAAAGGTCAAAGGCTTCCGACTCAGCACCTGTGTTTAAGAGCGACCTAAATCCTAGAAAACCCAAATGAGCCTAAACCCCTGAGCACTCTCAACCCCTAATTAAGCACCCTAAACCCTAAACCCTAAACCCTCAACCCTAAACCCTAGCCCTAAACCCTAAACCCCCAAACACTAAATTTCAGAACTCACCACCTGGCGTCGGAAGCTGGCTTTGCTCCGGGCGCCGTTGTAGCAGCCTTCGATGATGCGCTCAAACTCGGCATCCTGGACTCGCACCTTAGCTGCGGTTTAGGGTTTAGGGTTTAGGGTTTAGGGTTTAGGGTTTAGGGTTTAGGGTTTAGGGTTTAGGGTTTAGGGTTTAGGGTTTAGGGTGTTTAGGAACCACAGGGGTTTAGGGGTATGGGGTTGCAGAGGTTGAGGGGTTTAGGGGTTTAGGGTGCAGTGGTTGCTGGTCTACACCACGCGCCCCTTGTTTACTTCTCTATCCACCTGCGAGCCTCACACATTTTGGGGTTTTATCGGGTTGATATAGGGTTCAAGGGTTTAGGGTTTAGGGTTTAGGGTTTAGGGTTTAGGGTTTAGGGTTGAGGGTTGAGGGTTGAGGGTTGAGGGTTTAGGGTTTAGGGCTAGGGTTTAGGGTTTAGGGTTTAGGGCCAGGGTTTAGGGTTTAGGGTTCAGGGAATAAGGAAGCCTTGGCTGAAGAAAATGAGGGGCTCGGCCCACTGACACCCACAAAGGTGTGGAAAGAAAAGGAGGGTTTGGGCAGCTCTACAAGAGAGGGCTTAGGGTTTAGGGTTTAGGCTGAGTAGGTGAGGGGTTCACGCTCCTAGTGTTGGCTTCGGGCGCGGCCATAAGGCATTCAGAACAAAAGAAACAATGTTTAGAAAATCCGGGTACCTCAGGGTGTTGAGGTTTTACCCTAAACCCTAAACCCTAAACCCTAAACCCTAAACCCTAAACCCTAAACCCTAAACCCTAAACCCTAAACCCTAAACCCTAAACCCTAAACCCTGAAGCCTCCAGTTTAAGAAATCCACCCATCACGGGGAAGTCTCGCTTTCTTGTCCAGCACTCACTGTACCACAGCCTACTCCTTCATTTTTGATCCACCCCCCTAAACCCTAAACCCTAAACCCTAAACCCTAAGCCCTAAGCCCTCCTAAACCCTAAACCCTAAACCCTAAACCCTGACGCCTCGGCTGTGGGGACCTGTCCCCGTCTTTGCGTGCGGGGGCTTGAGCTTGTAGGAATTCGGGGGGTTTAGGGTTTAGGGTTTAGGGTTTAGGGTTTAGGGTTTAGGGTTTAGGGTTTAGGGTTCAGGGTTTAGGGTTTGGGGTTTAGGGCTTAGGGGCCCTGAACCCTGAATCGTACAGCTCAAGGTGGGTGAGCCCCAACATCCCTAAACCCTAAACCCTAAACCCTAAACCCTAAACCCTAAACCCCAAACCCTTGCAGCTGCGCTGCTCTGCATCGCACAGAGAAGTTCTCCCCCTTGATTTCGGCGAAGCGCTTCAGAACGTGCAGCCGCCGGTTGCAGAAGCAGTGGATGCCCTCACCTTAGGATGGCCCTAGGGTTTAGGGTTTAGGGTTTAGGGTTTAGGGTTTAGGGTTTAGGGTTTAGGGTTTAGGGTTTAGGGTTTAGGGTTTAGGGTTTGCAAGCCCTCACCTGAGGAGGGCCCTTACAGCCCCCTGACAAAAAACAATTCCGAAAGATGATCTTCTATTCAACCCAATAAGGGAAGATGTAGGGTTTAGGGTTTAGGGTTTAGGGTTTAGGGTTTAGGGTAAATATGATCCTCTCAAACCCAATAAGGGAGCATGTAAGACAGTCCTATATATGATCCTCTCAAACCCAAGCAGGGAAGATGTAAGAAAGTCCTAAATATGATCCTCTCAAAAACAGTAAGGGGAAACAAACCCTAAACCCTAAACCCTAAACCCTAAAACAGAAAATATCCCAAGGTCCGACCAAGCCACTTGTCTCCACACACTCCAGCAGGAAGAAAGGCTCGGTGATGCTGATCTCGCCTGCGGGGGTCTCTTTGGCTGTTTCAATTTCGGCCCTAAGAGGAACCCCTGGCAAGAAGAATTGTGTTTTTTTCTTTTTGGGTCTTATAAGGGGAACCAAGGCCATTAACAAGAAAAAGGGTGTAAGGGCCTAATCACTGTGGGTCCTTATAATACACTGCAAGCTGTCACACCCGCTGAGTCACCTCCTCCCTATTAAGGGCTACATTCCCCCTAGAAGGGACCCTTAATCTTCTTCCCCTATGTAAACCCTATGTACGCCTTGCCCCGAAATGACCTCGAAATAACCCCTAAGGTCCCTTATAAGGGTCTCTCGTTTAGTCCCTTGACCCTAAGCTTTCAACCCCTAAGCCCGTCACAATCACAGCTTGGGATGTTCCCCCATAGGTACCCCCTCCCCCCCTATTCTGAGCCATATTAAGGAGCTGGTAGTATAAGGGGGAACATCCCAACCTGAAACCCTAAACCCTAAACCCTAAACCCTAAACCCTAAACCCTAAACCCTAAACCCTAAACCCTAAACCCTAAACCCTAAAGTCGCAGCGATGGTCCTGCCACCAGCTGGTCGACCGTTTCTTGCGTGGTCCGCCCATCCCGAAAGCGATCACTGCATCCATCCTGCGACGCTGGCGATTTAGGGTTTAGGGTTTAGGGTTTAGGGTTTAGGGTTTAGGGTTTAGGGTTTAGGGTTTAGGGTTTAGGGTTTAGGGTTTAGGGTGTGTAGGCTTTAGGGTTTATAGGGTGTAGGGTTCATAGGGTTTATAGGGTTTAGGGTTTATACTGTTTATGCTGCTTAGGGCTTTTAGGGTTTATAAGGTGTAGGGTAGTTTAGGGTTTAAAAGGTTGATGAAAGGCGCATCAGACAGCTGCGGGTTGATCTAGGAAGGGTTGTCTTGCTCCATGCGTTCCCCTACTACCCCCCCCCCCTCTACACCCCCCCGAATTTGCCCCCATACTTAAGGTTAAGCCGAAACCCTAAGCCCTAAACCCTAAACCCTAAACAAGGCCATTCAAGGGGGGAACCTAGGGGGCGGTAAAGTAGACGGGGGTAGTCGGGGAACCTCTGTCTTGCGGGAATCCGCCTGTTGGCACTCAATCGGCGTTGCCCCAAACAACCCCGAAACGACCCTCAATCAAGTCTTGAAAACCCTTCAATCCTACACCCTAAGCCCGAAATCCTAAACACCAAAACCCTTACCCTAAACACTAAACCCTAAACCCTAAACCCTAAGCCCTAAACCCTAAACCCTAAACCCTAAACCCTAAACCGGAGGCCATACTTGCAAGCTTGGGTGGACCTAGGATGGCAGGAACCCCTTGCCTGCGTAAAGCTAATGTCTCTCACGGGCACGCGGCAGGTCCTGAGAGCTTGCAGGGATAAGCTCTAAGCCCTGTAGGGTTTAGGGTTTAGGGCTTGGGGTTTAGGGTTTAGGGTTTAGGGTTTAGGGTTTAGGGTTTCGGGTTCAGGGTTTGGGGTTTAGGGTTTAGGGTTAGGGTTCAGTGAACGATTCTTCTGGACAGGTTCTCTGTAGTTCACCAAAAGCAGTAAACCCTTCTTCATATGGTCCCAAGATTCCCAAGTAGCCCCAAAGTCATCCCCAAAGAGCACCGAAGGTCCCGCATAAGGGTCCCTTGATCCAACCCTAGGGTTTATTTAGGGTTTAGGGTTTAGGGTTTAGAGTTTAGGGTTTAGGGTTTAGACCAACCAACGCCAAGTTTAGGACAACCGCGGTCGGACAAAGCGGCATTGTTGTGCTGCATGAGGGAGGGTTTGTACTTGTCCAGTTTCACCCGAAACCCTAAACCCTAAACCCTAAACCCCAAACCCTAAACCCTAAACCCAAATCCCAAACGTTGGGTTGGGACTGAATGCTTGAGGGGCTTCGTCAGTACGCCGCCTGACCAAAGTTCCCTTGTAAGTTCTTCGCGGGGTTTGGGGCCACGACTGGCTAGGAACAATTATATAGGGTTCTGCAGGGAAGCCACTACTACTTAAGGTTCCCTAAGCTTCCATAAGGTTCCCTAGGTACCTACCACCCATGAAAACCCTAAACCCTGAACGGCCCGCCTGGGCCTATGGGCCCTGCTTGGGCCTATTTGGGTTGGGCAGGTGCCTAGCTCAGGAAGGTGAGGGGCCCCCCTGAACCCCCTCCTGGGCCCCTAAGTCCTGGGCCGAAATCCCTTTACCCTTTTCCTTTGTGCTTTTGCCCAGGCCCTCTGGGCCTTTCTGCCCTTCTGCCTGTGGTTTTTGGGGAACCTGAACCCGGTTGGCGACCACCGTGATGGAATGAAGAAGTTTTATGGAAGTAAGCAGTTGGCTTGAGTTTAGGCCTAAACGCAAAAAGGAATACGTTTGGGTGGCTTTGCCGCCTCGGACGGCGTGGGGTGGGAGAAAAATGCTAGATGGCCTTCCACAATCGGGCCAAATCTGCTCTTCGCGCCTCACGAAGCTTTTGAGATTTCTCAAA